AGTGGTATGACTAATAGGCATTTGAATAATGATATATTTTTTCCCATGCTATTTTCTACTTCAGCAGACAGGCTTTCTTTACTATTAAAAATTGATATTTTAAGTGGATAGTCCCATTTTTCTAGAGCTTCAATAAAGTCAATAGTTTTATTATGCAACACTTAATAAAAATTTAGCCACTGGATTTTAGCCTTTCCTGAACACACTCTAGGGAAACTCAGTGGACATCCATATGGGGTTCAGTTGTCTTTTCATTAGTATCTTGCTCATGTTCTAGGTTTTAAATGCCTCAAATGCTTTAATTTCTGCAATTTTCATAAACTACATATTTTGCATGCCTATCTACCTGGATCCTGTATTGGACACTGGAGACATGAAGACACAAGTATATATAATATAGTTTCAGAGGAATTTGGAAATTATTAAATAGCACCCATCGTTTTACAAATAAAGAAACTGGTTTCTTGAGGATAAATTTATTAATTCATTTATTCTTTCTTTCATTTCTTCAACAAATATTTGTTGAGACTCTAGTAGGAGCCACAGATTTTTCTAGGTACTAAGGATAAGACAGTAGAGAAACCACTGCTCTCAAAGAGCTTGTATTCTACTGACTTAATGTACATATCAGGAAGCACACAATTACATTTGCAAAATATAGATAATTTTAATTGTCATTAGAGATTCCAATAAACATTTGTGATAATGTTTATCTTCTACCAGCATTTCGTAAAAATGAAATCTTATAAGTGAATGCAAGTGCATTCCATTTGTTTTTTGCATAAAACAAAGTAACAATGATGATTAACTTTTAAAGAAAAGAGACTTGAATGAAATGGGCAGCTACAGACCTTGTATATAGACCTTGTAAGAACCATATTTCAGAGATCCACAGCTCATATAAAGAGAAAATACAGATCTTAATTTGTTTCAAGAAAGAAAAAAAGATTAAAGCAAAAAAAGGTCCAGTCAGTATTGCCAAAATATTGATATTTCAGAATTAACAAAAATAGATGTTTGCTGAGACTGGCTTGGCCTTTGAAGGTAGTTGTTCATTTCCCTTTGGAGCAAATGAGACCAAGCACAATATGTATCGATGATCATGTAAAAAAGACTAGAAATAGAAGGTGGCTGTTTTTCACTGGAATGACTGTGGAAGAAGGAAAAAAATCCTCTCACACATCCTTCTTCATATTGGCCTATCTGAATTCATTATGGTTCAATTACTCTTTCTCAGACCTATTAGTCTTAAGGAAAAATTTCCTCTATATTTCTAAATTGTAACTCTTTATACAACCATTAGAATGTACAAAACTTAGTGGTGTAGTGATAAAAGAATTATGAATTGAGTAGTCATCTGCTTTGTGTTTGTAGAGAAAACCTATGAAACACACTTATTCATTTTAAGTCCTTATCATAGACTTAAAATGCTTTAATCTCAGAGGACAATCATGATATACTTTTAAAATTTTACTTAGCCATCTCTTCTATTAGTTAAGTAACTTCAAGGAAATTCTTTGATAGATCTCCTTATCTCCACATCTAAGAAATTGAGGAACACATGTATGAATTTAGAAAAATTTGTTTAAACTTTTTTTTTAGAATTTTTAGTCCCAAATTAAAAGTTAAAAATGCAAAATTAAAACAACGATGAATTAAATGTTTATTTAAAATAGGTCTATACAATTAGGATGTGACTGAGTGCTTCACTGGGTTTGATTATTTATGATTTATGAGGTCTGCCTTTTAAGCAACTTAGTTTCCTAAAACCTCATAAACATTTGGATATGGAGTAGCAGTTAAAGACTGACCAGCAATGAACCCAAATGCAGTTCAAAAACTATTATGTATCTTATTTACAGTATATCTGAAAAATAACATTTTAGGTGGCTATATTGTTTTGTATTTTCCCTAAGCATTCTAGTATTAAATCATGTTGTACATGGAGATGAACTTAGTGGGTGACATGTCCATGGGGAGAGGGGAGTATCAGTGGTAAAAAGAGGGCAAAAATTTGATTTTCTAAAAACTGCACATGATCAACTTTCTAGTGAAGGGGTAATGTTGACATCAATAATGTCTCTAACAAACTATTCCAAGAAAGTATACTAACTAGTGTTGGCAGATTCAATCTACATCTTCATAAATTTTATGAAAACATGGCATTGTTCTACTTGATTGGTAGATCCTTAATGCCAGTAACATTGCTGCTGCTTCTGCTACTGCTGTTATGCTAAAAAGGATGTTTTTATTGGCATCTGAAAAACCAGTAGGAGCATATCTTATTTATATACCTGATTTATTAGTTCTTTAATGTAGAATGGCTTTAATTGGGATTACTGGAATTTCTCTCCTACTCCTATGTGCAGGAATCTAAAAATACACTCAATCTGGAAGCTTGCAATTGTCACAGCAACCTTTGAATAACTGACACCATATGGGCAGTGCTGATTAACATGCAAAGTAAATAACCACTGTACCATTCAATGTCAATGTCCTCCTACCAATAATGTGTTTCCCATTAAACAAACAGTGAGTAGAAGGATCACCTATAAGAAGTGTTTTTATTTAGGGACTTATAATAAAGGGCACATGTTCATAAGTTATAAGAAAATGAACAATACGAAGCTGAGTGGCTAATTAATACAAAGATTCAGTAAATAATAGCTGAATCCATTTCACCATTATCGATTGGTGTTGGGAGTTGATTTGTGGGTTAAAGTATTCTATTTGATTGTTCCATAGATTTACAAATAGGATATGTAATCTTAGACATCTTTATATCTAATATACAACCTAATAGAATGTCTTCTTTAGCGGTAGCCACTCAAAATATATTCATATATTAAATCAAATACCCTATTTGGATAGTATATATATATCTCACTGAACAGGAGAAAAATATCCATGTAATTGTTTTAGGCTAGTTTTTCCCCACTTTTTTCTATCCAAGCGTCCAAAAATTCCAACAGGAATGAGGACTACAACTACTTCCTGTATTGCTTAGAACAAGCCCAAACCCTTTCTGCAATTCGTATACTGTGTTATACCTTAAGTTTATATGGTTGTGTACTTAGAAAGATTTATAAGCTAGTAATTGGTTTCCAACCTTCACAAATTGTCCTCATTACCAGACACTCTGAGACCCAGGAAACCACTACTTGGTGTGTGATCACAAACAGTTGGATCACAGCATCAACTGTTAAATGACCAAATTATAGGTCTTTAAGTTTAAATACTCTAATTTCTTCCACTACCCCCTCCTCTGAGTCTTATCTTTAGCATGTATATTGCTAAAGACAGTTCAGAAGACTTTATCCAATAGCACCACAGAGGACTTCTAAGGTCACAGTATTTTGAGGGTTTATCTCATCCTTAGCAACCAAACGCAGGACGCGCATATACACAGTATTCACCAGTCCCTTCCACTAATAGTTTTTTCATACATTCCTAGGAATTGACACCCACTGAACAAGAGATAAAGACTTGTGTTTGTATATTTGCAAAATGTCTAAGTTTCCAGCATGTGGACAGCACCAATTATATGTATCATTCTGCTCCAAGTAGCAGGGTCTCTGCAGACAGAAAGAAGCTTCCCTTGGTTTCTGGGGCCATGACCAGAAAATACGAAAACCCTAAAGATACTCCGTTTACGAAATGGTATGTAAATAAACCACATCTATCCACCCCCCCTCCCCCAACACACTCCATTTCCTTTCCCTTTTCTTCAGTCGTGGTGGTGGTCAGGAGAGAGTCGCTAACAGTGTCCTCCTGACAGCCTTCCCAGGCTTTCAGTAGTCGTGCTCCACTCGCGTCGAGCGGTCCAGCTCTTACTTGTTGCCCTGGGTACCCTCAACCCACGAAGCCCCGCCGGGAGAGAACAATGACAGGAGAGCAAAGAGAGGGAAACGAGACCCACATTAGGAATGGCAATCTTCCAGCCGGATGCCCAAAATCCCGAAACCAGTGTTTGTCTCCCAAAGCAACAAGTGACCCTCGCAAGGGACTCTTGAAACCACGCGGCCCGCAACTCTGGAGTCCCTCTCACTCGTGTGAACAGCACAACAGGCTGCACAAACCAAACATTGCGCAGGTGGTTAAAACCCTACCCAAGCGTGACCAAACAGTAGTTCTGATACGGTTCCCCCCACTTCCCGAGAAAAACCTGTCGCCTGAGGCTACTTTCCACCTGCAGATTTCTGACGGTCGATGTCCTTCTCCATTCCACCCCCTTTTTTTTTTTTTTTTACAAGTTTCCTGAACGGAGAGGGAAAATGCCCGTGTGTTTGGGTGTGTATGAGGGCATGTGTGCGGGAAGGATTTATAAATTCTTTTGTCCTTCCGCTTTATCTGTGACCAGAGCCTTAGTTGCCGCCTGAAAAAAAATGGGATCAATAAGCCCTGCTGTTTTGCCAACGTTCAAAAAGCCCTACAAAATCATACTTAATAAAGGGACTTGGACACTATCAAAAGCTCGACAGGTTGCAGCCCCTGGTTACCCCTCCTGGGAACCTTTCCGCTCCCGGAATCCAAGGCAGCCCCATTTGCAAGGCGGTTCTTCACTTCCAAGCTGGGATTCTCGGGTCCGGCCCCTAACCCAAGCTCGCGACCCGCGACCCGCGAGATGAGAGAGCGCAGCGCTAGTCCCGCGGGCGAGCGGCTCCCGCGGGCAGCGCTGGGTAAGCGGGCTGGGTGCAGCCGCCCGCGCTCGCCTCGCCGCCCCGGAAGGGAGCCCGCAGGCGTGGGAGAGCGGCGGAGGGGAGGTGCGGGAGCCGGGGAGCAAGTAGGGACGGCGCGGCGGGCAACGAGCAGCCTAGGGAAGTGGAAGAAGCCGGGCAGGTGGAGACGAGGACGCCAAGCCCGAACAGCCCACGCTCCAAGTCTCCAGGAGCTGCGCGGAAGAAGGAGCAAGGTAGGAAGGCGCGGCGTCCCACAGACGCCTGGCGCCGCGCGGGGTCCCGGCTGGGCGCGCGGAAGCGAGAGGAGCCCTTCCCGGTTACCTGTGCTGCTTCCGCCCTGGCTGCCCCTGTCCCGGGGGAAGATGCCCGAGCACTTCTCCCACTCCACCTGGCCCGCGAAGCACAGCTCGGTGACGATGTGCAGCGCCTTCTGGCACAGGCTGCTCACTCCGTCCTCCTTGTGGAAACTCATTGTTTGGCCTCTTACTCTCCACTCAGCCGTCCCTTTCCCCTTCCCGTTACCTCTAGGCTGGCCCCTCGGGCGCCCTAAGCTTACATCGCCCGCCCGCGGAGAAATGGGCGGGAGAGTGCGCTGCTCAGAGACGGCAACTCTTAGGAGCCGCAAGTTAGCCCCATGGCAGGAGTGGAGGGCGCCGGGGAAGGCGGAGAGGCTGGGGCTGGAACGCGCGCGAGGCTTGCGGCGGCGAGGTTTGCGCCAGTTCTCCCGCCGTGCCAGCTAGTCGAGGCGAGCTGGAGAGAGAGACCCGGCATGGAGTGCGGGGCGGGGGGGGGGGGTGAGGCGGGGGGAGACGTAAAAAAGCCTAAGCCCGGGGCTTGCTAGACCGCCCCCCTCCTCTTCCAAGCGTGTTTGCGCTTCTGGCCGGTGCCTGGCGGCGGCGCGTCCAATCGCAGCCCGGCGCGGGCCTGGACGACCCGTGGCGCTACCCGCAGCGCCCCCTCCCCGCGGAGCTGGGGATGGAGTTGGCCCCGGAGGACGCGCGGCCCCGCGCCCATGCTGGGGTCCCTGGTTAGGCTTCGGGTACTGGATGCAGCGGGGGCGGGGATTAGAGAAATCTCCGTTTTCTCCGTACTTTTCCCAGCCTGGGTCCGCCCCCACCCGAACCTCAGTCCTCTACCTCTCCAACTTTGCTACACATGTGTGCTGCTCTCTCTGGTTTCTCGGGTTTTACTTTTCTGAAAAGTCATTTCAAGTGAATATAAACTGAATAAGTTAAATTACAAAAATGAACAGATGAATAATCAAGCCAGACGTGAATACAGAAAAGAAAGATGTGCCTGGAAAGCATGTTTAAAGTGATTTCTAATGATGATGGTTTTAGAGACAAAATTTAATCCGAGAGTTCTTTTTATTGCTATCACTGAAATTCACAGTAAGATAAATTCCTATTTAGCCGATTCAGTTTTTCTTTATGCAGAAATTCTTTAGTCAGATTTTAATTTGTTGCCTTTGATTTTTTTCTTTCTTTAAACTCTATTAGGTATTGCGCAAAACGAAATGTTGCTTGTATTAATATTCACTGTCGACTGATCCGTAATGGGCAATTAAGAATGCACAACTTGTCTTCTTTATCACTTTTGCACGTGAATACTGAATATAATAAGGCATGAGTGTTAAAGGGGAGGGGAATGAAGTTCAAATCTGTCTCTCTCACACACACACACCCCTGTGTTTAACCTTGAAATTGCTTTCAGGTCCTTCTTTCAATCTGTAAAAGGAAGGGCTGGGCCTCTCCTGTTCTTCTAATTCTCTGATGCAAATGGGTGAAAAGCACTCGTGGAGCTACAACTACAAAATAATGTTAGTAAGTGTGTGCCGCAAGGTTACAGTAAATGGATTTATATTGTTCTTAAATTGTTTTGAGACACAGTTTGATACCCTCTTATAACCTAAAGATTTATTTAAACTTTATTAGGTAGGGATCTTTATTTTTGAAGTAGAATATCAGGACTTTGTTAGTGTATTTACACTAGTAGAGTAAGTAATCTTATTTTAAACTGCTAGGCAGTTTATGATAAATTATTTCCTGTGTAAGGACACTATGGTAAATTTACTATAAATACTAGGCCTAGCATCCAAGTAGCTAAGCATTCATTAGTTGAATCATTTTGACCTGATTCATAGGACAATTGCTATAACCAGGACTATTTTTATCATGAATCAAGACAAACTAAACTCTGTAGGCTTTGTTTGTTTTTTTGTTTTTATGCATATTGATTTGAATGGTTTTTAGATAAGATTGACTATTTTGAAATAATTTCACTGTCAAAAAATATTAAATATCTACTGTATCTTTGAAACAAAGTAACACACTTTAATAGGGCCCTTTCTAATTGTCCTTGCCTTCTAGTCCTCCACAGTCTAGATAGATCCATGTAAGACAACCTGAAATGCAATGCTGTTCTTTCATATTTACTGTATGAGCAAACAGTTGTGTGGGAGTCCAAATGAGTAATTTGTCTCTATACTACTTGCAGACTCTAATTGCTTAAGTGGAGTAATGCAGGTCTCTCTCATGACCCTCTTATGTTTGATTTTGGCGTTCATTATTAAGTAAATGAATTCTGAATAAAACTTTCCTGTTATTTGTTTATGCTGTTCCTGGCCTGTTACTACTCTCACCTGTGTTTCCACAACAAGCAGAGTTAATTTCACTTGTATATTCGTTTTTCTGAATTTGTCTGAAATATTTTTGCTTTCATTTAAAATTAATATCCTAAGGTTTCCCCCCTCCCCCTTCCTCACTAGACCATCTCATATAGCTCATTAACAGGTGAATCAAACCAGTTTTTTTCCTGTCACTTATTAACAGCTCTGGTAAGAGGTGTGGGAAATGTAAAAACTGGTCACTATTTTCAATGCCGAAGGATAATATGACAAGAATTTCAATTTACAATCTTTAAGAAATGTTTATGAACTATTTCAACTAACAAGAGCCTACCCATCAAATAACCCAAGCAATAAAGATTTGCAATTATTTCCCCACCCACACTTGAAGGAGTTGCTAAAATAGTAAAGGAGGGGAGAGCAGGTTAGACTGATTTTACTAAGCACCAATTGCTATACTAAGTGATAAATGAGGCATTGATAGTCAAAATATTCAGGTAGGTCGCTGACACAGCTTTCTTCTGAATGATCTCTGCATTAAGTAGAGGAGGAATTGGTATGGAATTGAAGAGCCCAGGAGTACTCATTGTCATCCCTATAAGCTAAGCCAGCCTCTTGAGAGGTAATTTTAAATGGTTAACACTATGATTTCCCTGATTGTTCAATCCTCTCTCAATTCTTTTTTTTTTTTTTTCTCCTTTCCATGGCTCTTTCAAAATTTGGAGGGGAGGGAGTCACTTCTTAGGTAGAGATCTCTCTCAGGTAAGGGGAATTTGGGAATCATTCCTAAAACTGTAATTTCAAATATTACTTGACCCCCATATCAAGCATTGAGAAGGTGGGTAAATGAGGAAATTTCAGAATGGCTGAGTTCAGTCTGAATGAAGATCAGAGACAAGGATTAAATTGTAACTTACTTAAACCTTCCTACCTTGCTTTTCTGTATTCTGCTGCTCAGATTCATACAAGCCCAATTCTAACTGCCTGTACATACTTGGGCCTGCTCCTGTATTCCTTAATTTGGAGAGTGGCATCATCACTCACTCCCAGCTGGTAAGATGACCAGACTTCTGGTTTGCATGGATGGGTATTGCTATTGAGAAGTCCATTTCTATTCTGACTCCAGATCCTTGGTCAGCCTGATTCATCACTCTGAAGGTTTGGTGTCTTCTCTCTTTCCAGCGTGTTCATTTTATTCATTCATCCCGATGGATACTCAGTGAGCACTTCAAACGGACTCAGTTTTGAATCCTTTGATTTTGAGAAATGCTAATGATTTATTCCTTCAATAATTCTCTGCCTTCTGTTTTTCTGGGTAGTTCCTCTCTGGAACTCCTTTATGTTGAAGTTTTGACTGCCAGGATGGAATCGCTAATTTTCCTTTCTCTTCTACTTTCCATCTCTATTACCCCATCCTTGTGCTCTAAGTTTTGGGAGATTTCCTTGGCTTTCTTTTCTGAGCCTTCTATCAAATCACTACAATTTCAGCTATTAGAGTTCAAAGAAATACATACTTTTTTTTGGTTTACTAATTGTTTGGGTTACTTATTTTTTGGAGACAGTCTGTGCTTATTTATCTGACCATATTAATTATGTATTTTTAACTACTCCCCACCCCGCTTCTACATTGTATCTTTTTTCTCTGAATAACTTGATTTTGTTTTGTTGTTGTTCTTCTTCTTGTAAAAGTTTCTCAGGTGTTTGCTCCTCTAAATAATGAAGTATAAATATTCACCATGAAGATATGGAGTTGAAGCCCCAATCATATTAATAAGGCTTATAACCAGGGGCTGCACTGCAATGTGACTCAGAGTATTTTGAATTGGAGCACCCCCAAATATGAAGAAAGACTATCTAATCTTTTGTTAGGCATATGGGGCAATAACTCAAGTCGACCTGTTTTTATTTTCTAATCTGCAGCTGCTCATGGTTCTGGCCTCTTATAGTTCTGGTGCCTTAAGTCTGGAGCTTTTCTAGTTTGATATCTTCAGGGGAAAATTATTTTACTTGCAAGTTTGGGGAAAGGTCACCACCTGACCAAAGGAGTTGTATGGATGGAGACTTGAGCCTCTGGACACATTCAGAGTGACACTCCCTGCGTTTTTAGCCTTTCCCTCTACTGCCATCCTCTGTGGAGTCAGTATGAGGTACCTCCATTTCCGAGTTTTTCTGAGACTCTGGCCTCATTGCTTCTGGTTTGGAAGTTTCAGCTCTCTCTGCTCAGTCAGTACTCCTTCACCGCTTCCATCTTGTAAAGCATTTGACAGCTTTTGTCCTTACGTCATCTCCTGTGTCTTTTCCTTTTCTTCTGTCCTTTTGAGTTGATAGCTTTATATTGCTCTATTGTCATCTCAGTGTCATTTCAGGATAGGCAGGAACACACATACATTTTCAATCCATCATGTTTAACTGTTTAAAAAGGCAGTTCTGATTTCTGTCACTTCCAGTGCTTTTCCTTTGTGCTTTTGCTACATCTAATACCTTGAATGTGGCCTGCAGGACCCAAGGGGCTCTGGCCTCTGCCTAGTTTCCTTGTCCTTTTCTGAATTCTTTGACTTGTGCTCTCTTTTCATTCTCTATTTTTCCTTTGTAGCACATAATGTAATTTACATTAATTAATATGATATAAACCAGTAGGTAGAGAACCTTTCCTCCCTCATCACTGCTTGTTTCCCTGAGCCTTCACTGTGCCGGCTGTAACAGTCACTTGATAATATTTGCTGAATAAATAAATTAATGTACATCTTTTGTTAATCCTCTTTCCCTCTAGTTATCATAAATAAAAGCCTTTATTTACTTGTTTAAGAAATGCCAGGCTATAGTAGAAACTGACAAACTTTTCTATTCTCGGGAAGTTGAGAGAAGAGGGATGAGAAGGAAGAGTGAGTGATGGTAGTAGAATATGTCCTTTGAGAAGGAAGAAGATGGTTATTTATATATTCGGAACCGACACTAACTTTTGAATACATGCTTTATACCAAGTCTCTTATGTATATTCTATATGTGGTTTACTACTAATAATAATGATAGTTTCTGTTTGATGTGTAAACTGTTTAAAAAACTAAATACTCTGTAAGCTAATT